CGATGGTTAAAGACACTGAGTGATATGGCTGGGTGTCGCAAACAGTGGCGTTCGTGCATCTTCTCAGTTACTTTGTCGCCATAGTTTACTGGAGTTCTCCATTTTCCGTTCCACTCCACTTTCAACTTTCCTGCTCTTCTCCTATTCTTCATCCAAATGGGCAGCCAAAAGACAGCAACCAAAACCGGCGCTCGAAAGTGCATGGTTAATGGTTGTTCAAACTGAACTGAACGGAGGCTAGAGGACTACGGATTTTAGCTAAGGCATTTCGGGTTTTGTCTAAAGCATATCGGATCGAGGCTAAAGGATTGCGGGTTTCGGCTAAAGCTTGTTGGTGAAAGGTGTAATTCGACCTATTTTAGTTCCATTCAACCCTTTTTCGTTCGCTCTGTTATCCATACTGTTCCGTGCGGTGCTGGCCTGTCCATTTGAAACTCACGAAGTCCGAAACGCTAAATGGTCTATAAAGCAACAGTGATATCCACTGCTTGGCTATCTGCTTGTGGCAATCCCATTCCTAATGCAGCTATATTCGTGGGTCTTTTCCGTCTTCAAACATCGTTGGTCGAACAGTACGTCCTTGTTGTCGATCGGCTTCTCGTCCTGTGCCGATAAACACCCGCGGTTCCAACTGTTGTTGAACGTAGAACGTGCGAGATATTTTTTATCAGGATCTTGTTCTATACGAAAATGGGTGTTACACCTTTAAGTGGCCTCTCCACTTGTGACTTCGCGATCCAATTCTTACTACTTTCGTAATTTTCAGTAGACAGTCGAATGAGTCCTATCATAGGTACAATAGTACATGAGCGTTGTTCCTGGTGGTTGCGCTTCCTTCTATACCACAGTTATCAACATGATTCGGTATTATGTCCAAACGTTTCAGAATTAGTTTTAACATTTTTGTTTGTATTAGCTTATTGGATTTGTACAGGCATCAGACCATATCCATAGTATTTTTGACAGATTTTCTTGCCGTTGGCGAAAATCACTCAATATTGGGGTAATTAACATTCTTTAAAGGTGTAAAACCCACACTCATCATAATCATCAACACTGTCCGATGTCTGTAAAGCAATCGAACGGGCTAATCCAAAGATGCAATTCTAAAATTTGCTATAACCATTCGCTCAAAGTGTCGGTTTTGTAGATCACGTTAGGATTTCCGACTTCCAGCGCTTAAGTTCGAATCCTGGCTGAAACAAGAAATTGTGAACATTACATCTGAAGGGCGAATTAACTCTCCAGTTCTTTCTGGGAATTATGCTGGAAAGCTACACAACTGTCAAGGCGATTCAGAATGTGATTGCTTGAATGCTATGCTGTTCTCATTTTTTTTGTGGACCAACACCTACCTTGTCAATGGACGCACTGGTGTGCAGTCCCAGGTTCCCCGTGTTGGACCTGATGGTTGCGTATATTCTGCCGTCCACGTCTGCGTCATCACGTGGAACAATCCACAGTAAGACAGCGTCAGTTAACGTGTGCGTCCTTCGTCTGTGCGATCCAGCTAGCTTCGCGTGAAACATGACATTAGTCTGCACAGTTTCTGTGAACACCTTTGGGAAGCCAGATCCCCCTTTGGTGTGTCCACAGATTGTTTCGTGTCCTTTATAGGTGCTCCTCGGCATTGATGCTAAGGAAAATTTCTAAAGCGATTAATCTCACTCACAAAAAGATTGTCGGATTCAACTTGCTTGGTAAATTGGGCTTTAGTCGAGTTAAAGCAGCCGTTTCGGTGATCGCTCGTGACTGTTTGCCTCACAGAGCTGCGCAATAACTCAGCTTTCCACGTTCTTTGCATAGACATCGTAGAGACGGACTTCCCCAGATTGTTGAGAACAAACCTCCTTCCATTTTTTTAGAATTTTTGATTTTGATTTTTAAGTATGTAATATATATATATATATATACTCATACATGTATGAAGTTAAAATGTGCCCAACAGATCACGGGGCAATAATCTTTATAAAAAGAGCGAGTTCGATTATTTATTTGTGGGTGGAAAACTGCCAGGTTTCCCAGTCAAAAGCAGGCGATTTTTCTGGGGCAGCTCACTACCAGAGCCTTTGGTTAGCCAAAGTCTGGCACGCAAGGTAGCGGTGCGGTATGCGAAAACCGCAATCCATTGGAGGCCGGTGTCCAGTTCATCGAACCATTCACCCTGTGGACTTGGTCAAACATACAAGGTGCCCAATCGAGCTGGTGACCACAACTACGAAGGTATGTGTGGTTCGTACGCCTCCGCTTTGTGCGGTGTATGCTGTATAGACGAAAACCAACATATTATAGTCAAGTCAATTCAGTGGTAGCTTATGCATCCGGGTGGGTGAATTTTCAGCATTTATACCATATTTACGGATTCGAATTTACAAAATCATACATGATGAAACTGAAAGCAGTAGATTGTGTTTGTCAATGAAGCAAGACATTCCAAAATTCTGTGGAACTTTTCTCCTTGTCAATAAGTAAACGTGCTAGATATGGCAAAACAGAATTACGATAAGAAGAGATACGTGCAAATAAAAGTTTAAATCTTTAGCGTGTGGATGATGTAGATACAGCTTTTGAAAATTGTGTAGTAGATGATGAATGTCTGAGAGTATTTTAACAGTGAAATTTTCACATGCTGGTAAGTGTCTATCTATGATAGAATCCACGAGTTTATCCCTGACGATGTCACTACATTTAGAGATTTTACAGAGATCTCGACAGTAAATAAAATTATCTCTTAAATATGCCGGGAAAGATCACTGGGGAGCACGCCTGCATTCACAAACCTAACAATCAGCTTGTGGGGGACAGAAAGTATTATCAGTCGGAGTGAGAAATATGAAAGCTTTCTAACTTTACAGAATGTGTTTTAAACATGCAGTGACCATAATAAATTGTGTGATAATGTGACTCCGAGGTAATTTACCATTGTCAATTTGCCAGGCCGAACAAGAACCTTTCGTCCTTCCACACATTTGTAATTTTTTGCACCCAGCATTTCCTGTATCTCGTGTTTTTTGCTGTTGTTGTTGGTATACCTCAGCAACCCCAGAACGAAGACGAATCAGCCCAGCACCCCATCTGCCACTTCGACACCCACTGGTCTTGGTCCGAAACAGTTCGCTAGTGGTGAGTCCGAATTGTTTTGCTTTTCCGCTAGTGATCCGATTAGGGACTGCTGCATTCCATGTGGGATCGCTATTTCTTGAACCTGTCGGTTTCATATATTTGGCGGATTATAACTTTTGTGTCCCACTCGAGATCAAGCTGTATTCGTAGTTCTTTACGTTGTTGAAACGGATCACCTTTGCTTAAACAATAGTTCTGTATTATCTGTTCTCCGGTTCCAAGTGTTGTTGACCGTGTTCAATATTCAGTGCGACACTTTTTTATTATTACCTTGTAAAAACCACACTCAAAATCATCAAGAGAACAATCGAATGGGCTAATCCAAGCTTGATACTTTATCTCGTGCTATAGTTACGAAATTAGGTGGTACACCTGTACGTCTAGTACATTACACTCTTGTGGCCCTCATAATGCCAAAAAACAACCGTTTTATCGTAGATTTTCGCATAAAACTGTTGATATTTCTAATAAGCTTTATTTTCTCATCTATTTTCAGTGGTTGTTTGTCCTACTCCATCGCGACCAGTGGCAACCACACTGAGCTTTAATCGTCCACCTTCATTGACCACCAATAGCAACTTCTCCCTGATTCCAGCGAATAATGAAACTATTGGGACTCCTAATCGCTCGGGGGTCGGAAATCGAACCATGTCCTCGGGTACTTCTCCTACCGCGACAAACTCAAGTAGCACGATTGCAGCCCTCTCGGAATCAGCCAGTGGTGGTGGTTCCGGACTGAATTCAGCAACGACTATACTGCACAGTGCTTTCAGTCCAGCAGAAGATCTCATCGGTCAGCGCTTGTCTGCCTATCCCTGGTACCACGGCACTTTGTCCCGATTGCGTGCAGCCACGTTTGTCCTCGGTCAAGTCTCAAATGATGATCCAAACTCTCTGACAGATCGGTCTGATGCGGCTGCTTTGTCTGGGGTCGGTTCGCATGCTCCTGCAGGATCCGCATTCAGTAGTCCGTTGGACCAGTTACCGGATATACAATCCTCACTCTCTGTTAGCGATGGTGTATTTCTTGTTAGACAAAGTGAAACCAAACAGGGCGAATTTGTGCTGACATTCAGTTGTCATGGGAAAGCAAAGGTTTGTTCGAATTTTTTTCAATTTCAACACCATTTTCATGATTCTGCAGCATGTTCCGTCGTCGAGGGTGTTTTGAACTGGTCTCCAATGATGCGTTCGTCTTACAGATCGAAACACACCGAGCCATCGTCATAGACTGATAGGTATGATAAAAAAGAAGATACCCCCGAACGCTATCCTCGCGGCACGTTCTGTTGTGCAGACTTGCGTGAGCCTGAAAACGAGAAGTGTTATTGGAGTGGTGAATAAATTTGCAACCGATGATTCGTTAGACAATCGGATGATATCGGAATACGGTCACTAAAAAGCAGAAATCACGCAGGTCTATTGTCTCGATAATAGCACAACTTGTGGTGTCGGAGCATTCTCTGATTAGGCCGTGTTCGGTAGCTCAGCGTATCAAGCTATGTAAGAGCATGGAAAGGGAAACGCATCATTGGTGATCGATTTGATCCCCGCCCCAGTACGTTCATTATTTTAACACATTTTCCAATAATTCACTCAATACATACTGTAATAGAATCTCTTGTGTAACAAATACGCGTGTATCCCACAGTAGAGAGCAATCACTTTTTTTCATTTTTTTCAGAACATTCATGATTATGTTCATTTTATTTTTCGTGGCTTCAGCTTGCGCTGTGATGAAAATGCAAGTGTTTTCTACACATCCCGCGTCGCTCGATACTCACTCTTTTCCGCTTTGTCACAAAATCTCTAAGATTGTTTCATTGTTGATTCGGTTTTGACAAGCATTGACTTTTGTGTTCTATTCGCGTGAGAGTTTGCACGTGTATGAGAAAACCCCAGTTCGTTAGCGTGCATTAGGTCATCGTAGCCGAGTGGTAAGGGTCTCCAACTTATCGCTCCGAGGGACGCGTGTTCGAGCTTCACCTCCACCACCTGATTTTCCCCATTCCGTGTTGTAGGAAAGCCCTTCGATTGGCCGCCTCCTCCTTCCTGAAAGTTGTATCATTATCTATTCAATAGGAAGAAAAATGAAAGGAAAAGGTTTCCGCCTCGGCAGAGTAGTATAATCACCGCTTCGAGTGTTTTTCGACACTAGATTGAATGTGCGATTCCCGCTTACACGAGCATCTTACAGTTGTCTTGTTTCGTTGAATTCAGAATTTGTCTTATTGCAACAATCGCTGAACGCGCAGTTTTCAAGCGTTTGTTGTTATTTGTTTGATCGAATTTACGATACCGCTTCTACATCATTCTCGCTCCGTCAAACACTCATTTCAATTTGTTCATACCCTCCCCCTTCCCCGATTCAGCACCTACGTATGACTCTTACTCCCGATGGTCATTGCCGAGTGCAGCATCTCCCATTCGACTCAATAGTTGAAATGCTGGAGCACTTCCGTCAGGAACCAATTCCATTGGAACAGACTAGTACTGCCGGTCCGCTAGATGCGTCTATCCCCTTGGATAATAGAGCCGTGACCAGCACTCCGCCAGCCCCAGTCACCCTGTCAGCCTATGTGGTAAACACACAATTGACGGGCAGTCTGACTCGTTTGGTCCTTTGCCGCGGATCCATACGGGCCAGCGTGACCACAGTTGGACGTGCAGCCGCAGCCGCGATTGCCACGGTGGCCGGTGGTAGTAGAGCTGTGCAGAACCAGTACATTATCATGTAGATTATTCACAATCCGCGTTCGCTTGCTCTTTCTCCACTTGCTTCTATTTTCGCGTTCTATCGACCACTCGCGCATACCCCCTGTTCGCGCTTGTCCCTCGCCATTNTTGCCCCCCCCCCCTCCCCACGTTATTCTTTGTCCATTTCAGTCTTTTTCTCTCGTGATTCACCCTTCCTCACTCGTGACTTTTATTCTCTCGTCTACTGTTTAATATCGGCAGCCTCATGCAACCGAAGCGCCCAATCAGAGTTTATTGATTATCCTTGTGATTTACTCATCCTTTATTGGCTCTTACCCCGGGCCGCAAAACATTCGCTAACTTCAGGTATTCTAAACCCACCACTCAACCCTACCGTTTCTTCTAGTCCATTTTCGTTTATCCAAGGCGATACTTGTATTTGTCATACTTAGGGAATAATTGTCGGTATTTTTGAGACAATTAGGGCATACTCTCCGGGTGTTTTTTGTGAAGTTGCGGTCAAGAGTGTAGGTCTATTCGATGCTCAGTCTAGTTCTTGTGGACCGACCGCTATTCTCTACTTTTGACTTGTTGAATCATGGTTGCCATCTACTTACTGCTTTTCGTTCTTGTTCAGTTTTCCCGCAAACTCACTCGTTGATCGTCTCTCCTCATTTGCTCACTCTGTCCCTCGTGTGTGTGTGTGTGATGTTTCACATTAATTGGTGATGGGGGGTTGCTTTATTGTCTTCTTCCTTTGCACAGCATTTCATAAAACGTAATCCTGTTGAGCTTTATTCTTCGAAAATACTTCATTCCGATGATGATGCTTTTTTTGTTTGATCGTTGATCGTTCTCGCCCATGAACGGTTTTCAGTACAGTCACACACACACCATTACATTCACAAAACAATCTATTCTAACACCTATTTCCTGCCTGAATATGCATTTAAGAACCCGACAATTCACTTTGGTTTTTCATTCTTTCAATCCACACTTCCCTGACTTTCCCTTCCCAATAAGGTATTCGTGTACACATACATACACAATACGTCCTAATCATGTCATGTGCAATATTGTCGCCAACTTAGCCGTTGCTCTATTACGCTCCTACTGTCAACGCATCTCGGCTGTGTTGCGTGCTGTGCAAGCGAACTCTATTATGGTGTTTTCAACTTCGTTAAAACAATACACAATTTGCCTTCTGGTTTCTTGCCTTTTCTTGTTTAGGGGCGTGAACTTAATCCGTATGCGTAGGGTTGCGTATATTGGGTTCTGTGATCCAATGAGCCTCCGTGGTATAACAAGGGACCAAGTCGAAAATCCATTCACGCCTGAAAAGTTTGGAGGATAGAGTTCAAACAAAATCTTGTTTTTTGTTTCTGAATTGATCCATCAGTCGTCAAAATGGTGGCAAAATAGTCGATACAAATAGACCGACCTCATCTCAATCCTTATTTTAATGAATGGATCTGATACCGAGCCATAATCGTTCTCCCAATCAGAGAATTGACTGGTCTTCTGTCAGTATGCGCCGCGTTTTGTAAACTTTTTATACGTCTTTTTAACGAGATGCTACTGATCACGAGTCGTGAGAAATGAATTTGTCCGACTTACGGTTCTTTGGACAATGAATCCGTGAGTTCAAAAGTAGCCCATTTATTCTACTTGCGATACACTTGTGAGGTTTAACTGTATCCGCATGAGTGAATGCATAGGCTTGAGCAGGAAAACCGCATTTAACCTGAATAGAAGAGGATATTTTCGTTTGAAATCCGCGTTGTTGCTGTTGTTATTGCCATTGCTTTTATTTGCACGCGATTGAACTCGTGCATCATGCTGCTGGTGAAAACCGGCGAAAAGTTTCTGATATGAGATGGAAAACTGTGCCCAAGTCGCCTATCTGAAGCGCTCGACGCGATTTCATATATGCATCATCTGACTGCGAATCTTCTTGGCAAGTTGTTCTTGAGTAGAATGTACTTAGCACTTTTAATCAGTGTCCTGTTGCCCCAATCGAATTCTTGATTTTAAAGAAAACATTTGGGATCTTTGATTTCGTTTTGTAGTCTTTCGAGGGAGCGCAGCGATACTGCTCAAAGTTTCTTTTCTATCATCGTACATTGAAGCAGATTTCGCCGATCACTGTAAAGCTCGAAACACAGATATGTTAAGTACAAATGTGTAAGATGGATTGAGTGGACCTATTCTGAAGGAGGGAAAAATAGAGTGAACCTATATAGTCAGCATAGAGAGCGTACAGTTCAATTGTGCATGCGCTCTTCTTCAAACAATCTGGACTGGTGATTAAGAACCACACTGTCGTACAGATGAACAATGGGACGGTGATGTTCATTGGGAACTTCCACTAACTAGGGCCTTCTGTTACATTTTCTTCACCTGTTCCGTCAATATAGCACCAAAATCTGTGTGAATGACGCTGTGCTGATCGGCGTTATTTGTTCGTCGGAAGAGCATGATACAACACATTCCCAAGAGAGGCTTCTGAAACAGCATTTTTTATCCTGCTCGCTGAAATCGGCCAGTTTGAGGCAGAACTCTGCTTTGTTCATCATAACTGCAATTAGCAGACCATGCACGAACACCGTTTGGTTTTGAATACGTTTCAAATATTGACTGAACCCTGGAGTAGCATCAGACAAAAGCGGCTGTTGACAGGACTGTACTGGACGAAAGAAACTTCAGTTTTATCGCTTTTGTCACTATCCACTCCACCTTGACCTGGTGAGTGAGCCTCGTCTTTTGAAGAAGTTATCTAATAAACGACATTGGCGTAGCTAGGTAGGTAGATTCTGGAACACCGCAACAAGTTCCAACAATATACCACATCATGTTTCATTGACTTCCACGCTGCCTTTGACCCTCGATTGAGAATGTTTGTGGTTCGATGGGATGCCCTAGAAGTTCATCAGACTTTTAAAGCTGTATTACTCAGGGACCAGGGAACGCATCCGTACGGAGAAGAATCAGCTGGGTTTACAGTGAGCTCTTGAGTCAAGTAAGGCTGTCCCGTACTACCGGGGTTATTCAATTACACCGTAGCGTAGATAATGCGACAAGCACTCATCGAATACCCTGTAATGCAGCTTGGCCAAGGTACATGGATTACAGACCTTGAGCTTGCGGATGGTTTCATCGTACTTGGAGATACCATGGGCAACCTCCAGCCTCTTCTGATGATCTGCACGTGGTGGTGGCGCAGTGGTTTAGTCACTGTCACCGGCATGCGCTGAACCCAATGGTCTGAGGTTTGAGCCCCGCCACCACCTAACTTTAGTGGTAGGCAGCTTCACTTTCGTCCGGTTCAATACCACGCCTAACCTAGTGCGGCCTTATGCGGCTTGCCATTCCGAATCCCGGGGCTTAGGTCACCGATTTTCCATCACTCAAAAACAGGTCCTCGTGACTATGGGGTTACCCCGTCTGCTGTTCATCACTAGTATGTAAAAAAGTTTGTTATCAATCGCATTAATCAGCTTGCTCAGGCCGTCGGGCTAGAGATCAACACGTCAAAAACCAAGACGTTTTGGACTAAAATCTGCTACGCCGGAACCCCTCTCAATTAATGGGGGCCTGTCGAGTCACCAGAAGTTTTCAAGTAACTTGGGTCTACCACCAAATCAAACGGCCTCGCGAAGGATGAAATCCAACTTCGTATAGATGGAGCTAAAAGAGCCTCCCTGCAACTCATCAGACCGTTGTGGAATCAATGCGAAACAAGACTAAAGACTAAGCCGCAGGTTTATCGGGCTTCCATCCGACCCATCCTCACTAAGAGTACTAGATACGAAGGAGCTCGAGGTCTTTGATCATTGGTCTTTATGCTGCATCCCAAAAGTAAATTGGAGATCGAATTTTTATTGATGAGGTTCAACGGCGCTGCTCGAACATCAACAAGCCTTCAAAAACGCTACAACGCCGGCGCCTTCAGTGGTTTGGCAGTCTGCTTCGTAAGCCCATGTGACTTTCGGGGCAAGCTGTGGTCCCTGTTCCGTGCCGTGGATGACTCGGTGGTCAACTGAAGACCTGGAGCAGTACGATTAAGGCGGAGTTGGAATTACTGGATCTCCAATCTGTATATGGAATTCGTAACTGGAACCAGAACTGAGTCTCACACTGCGCCAACCTTGCCGCCGATCGTCAGGCATGAGCATCTAACATTAAAGACACACGAAAAGCCGAATTATCCTTCCGCATGAGTTAGTCGATCAAAAGTAAAATAGGTAAGTGAAAGTAAGCCTTCCTGGATGGGACCCTCGGGATCATTGTAAACAATAGTTAGAAACAGTGTGATATGGTTGTGTTGCAGTCAGTTACGCTCGTGCGTCTACTTATTACTTTTGTAACTTTAGACCATGAATCCTCTATTTTAATTTTGACGCTGATTTGAACATTCCGATTTTCCCTTTACTTCTGCATTTACATGGGCAGTCGTGAGGCACAAATCGAAAGTGTATGGTACAAACTTAACTAAACTAAACTTTATTGAGACGGGAAATCTGCTTCGACAACTTTGAACACAATCGTTTTGTTACTACACTCCACTGCGTGATGAACAGAACGAGTAGGTACTATGGCCACGAGCACAGACTGTCCGCTGTCTATGATTGAAAAATAAACGCGGGGAATAAAAGTGGAGGAATCACATGAGGACTCGCTGGGAAACATGTAGTGTTTGCGCGGACGAAAGTGATGCCGCTAAAGTTAAGTAGTAGTAGAAGTTTGCACGAACATTGTTGACCAATTTTAAAAGCTCAATATGTTCAAAGTACAAGTGCAAAACCGAGACAGCGAGAGAGTACGAGTGCTTTGACGAAAAGAAAGTGACTATCTACGTTTAAGACACAGGGTGCATAGCTTAGCCGTACCAGCATAAGTGCCAAGGCATCCTAGCATGATAAGACAGGAACACCATTGTTGTTGATCTGCTGCCATATCCTTCAAGGTTTTCAACCACCCATTTACAGGCTATCAGACCTCAGTCAGAAAGAAATTCTCTCTACCTTGTTCATCTGTACCGTCTTTCATCCATCGTTTGCGCCTTTTCTGTTGATCTGTACGTGGTGTTGGCGCAGTGGTTTAGTCACTGTCACCGGCGTGCGTTGAACCCTATGGTCCGTGCCTCTCCACCGCCACCCAACTTTGTTGTCGTCCGGTTCAATTCCATGCCTAAACTAGCGGAGTCTTAAGTGGTTCGCCACTCCAAGTCCCGGTGCTTAGGTCACCAGTTACCATCACTGAACAGTACGTCTTCGTGACTATGGGATCCAGCCTGTCTGTGTTCACCATACGAGTGTGTCATAAAATAACTTGAAACGGGAACCGTGTACAAGTAGCAGTTCGGTAAACTGTCAAGAAATTGCAACGTGTCTTAATCTACGAAAACTACTAATCCCAAATTAAAACATTTTTAAACAAAGCACTCCCAAATACTAACTTCGGTGTGATTAAGTTACTCACATCGTTTCATAATTGTGCCATGAATGCTGGCAGCCGGAAAACCCAAGGTCTTGCAGCTGTAACTAAGCCCACTGTGACATATGAAACACGACCCTTCAAAAGTAATGAAGCATCACATTCGCGCCAAAGGTATTACAGATCTGCTTGATTTTGGAACACATGTGCGCCTGTCTCAGTGACTGTTGAAATCATTCCTTCAGTAACTCTACATACCTGGGAAGATCTAGATCTTTCTAAAATGGGTCTCAATAATCTGAAGTTAATAATTTGCGATTCAAAAGGTATTCATTACAGAGTACGCACACGAATCGGTAACGCTCACCGAAGATTTAACCCAGCCACAGGTTTAGTGTCTAGACTAATGGCGTCGGGCAAAACAACAAGGTCCGAATAAGGGAAAGGTACATGTGCACAGGGGGCTGATGCTATCAGTAAACAGGCTTTAACGGAGGGTTGTCCTAGCCTTGTTTGGAATGCGCTATGCACCTTACAAGAGTCAGGTTGAACCCGCTGGAAATCTCATTCAACAGTAGACGATTAATTGGTGGTGGTCAGATAATTTGGGTCTTGGTCACCGACGTGCCTTGGACCCTAAGGTCTGCGGTTCGAACCGCGCCATCGTCACTCAACTTTGGTGGTAGGCAGCTTCGTTATCGTCTATCTCCATACCACGCCTAAAATAGCGGGGTATTATGTGGTTCACCACTGCAAGTACCAGGAATTAGGTTGTTGGTTGAAACGAGGGAATAGCACGTCCTCGTAATGAGGTTAACCCCTTCCGCTGTTCATCATACAAAGGAATTCTTTAAAAAGCTATACCTCTCCTGATAGAGAGCTATCCGAAGTACCGAACTTCGTTTCGGTCAAGAACCTGTAACATTTGAAGCGTCAAAGTGAGGTCCACCAGATTCCTGGAGGACTGATTGAATACCTAGTCCAATAGATACTTAAGTAATTGCTATACACTTTTCAACACCGTTGTTTACAAAACAGTCACATTTATCTACCCTCAAACTTTAAAAAAATATTGGTACAATCTTTATGACGAAGATCAACTCGTGTCTCAAGGAGCTTCAGAACCAGATTCAAGATGACCTGATCGTGATCAGCGATGAGATGTACTGGACAGCCTGAGCGGGTAGATAACCTGTGGGCGTAAGATCTGTCTAACCGGATGCTATGCTCCGATGTACAACAGTCCTTACACACTTTTCTCTCTCTTGTCTTTTCACTTCCTGTTATTAAACACAATGGTGCAATTTTCAGGAAGGGGGGAAGCAACCAATCAAAGGACGACCATATAAAACACAAATGGGGAAATCAGGCGGCGGTGGTGGGATTCAAACACGCCCTCCATGGTGATAATTTAGTGACGTTATCACCGCTGCTATGGTTTACTCGGCTAACGGTCGAAAGTTCAATCAAATAGCAAAGTTGGTGGTAGAGAAAAAGCCCGGTTGCTCGAGCTCGAGCAGGTGATTTCCGAGCTTCGCAAACAGAGCCTGAATCGTGGGGCTCTGTCGGATGCATGAGTAACGCGTTCAACATAGCTGTGAATGAACCTGCTAGGGTGATCGCAAGTTTTATTCACCCACGGTATTGCACTAGTGCAGTTGGTACAACACGCGCAGATCAGTCTATGGAACTATTGAACTTGCACTCCCATTCGGTGGTTTTATCTCCTATCTTTTCCGATGCTCATTTAACCGAACAATTATTCGGAAATCTGAGGGTAGTCTCAGGTGAAGTTAACTAGTTTGCAAAATATTGACTAGATGTACAATCACAAGGGTTCATGACACAGCATTATCATTCGGAGGGTCAAGTCACCTACTGCACAGAGCCTAAGAGGCCTATCGCGAGCCACACAATGAAGTTCCTTAGCCAGTTTTCCTGTCACCATCCCGTTTTTTGGAGAGAATTTTCTACGTGTTATATCTGCTGAGGCGAATAGTGGTTTAATATCGAATGGCCAGAGAATATTAACCAGCGCATTGATCCAAGTATATCAAGTTTCGCCTCCTGGTCAGTGACCATAGTATAAGATCAACTGAAGACTGACGGTGGTATGATTAGGCGTTAAGAGGGCTTTACAAGCCTCAGTGCAATCCAGAATTCTTGCGCGCCTACCTTGCGACGGCATGCTCAAACCACCGGTCATTCCCGAGTTTATCCATCCCCCACCAAACCGAAACCCAGAGCGTGTCCATGCAAACCAGGGTGTGATTCCCGGGCTACTGTAGCTGACTGAAACTGGTCCTATTATATGATCTTCATGTGTATTTACAAGTATTCAATGGCTTCAGATTTTATCGTTATCTACTTGAGTGTTCGAGCAATAATTCTTCGACGGCACGCCGAAAAGCGGATCAGGAAGCTACGGAAAACCTTCGCCAGCAGCAATTTGAGTATGGGAATCCCGGCATCGGTTCATAGTATCACAGGAATAGATATCCAGTAAATGTAATTGAAAAATGCAGTAAGCTGCACCGATTCACGTCAAACGTCGCATTGACGATAAAAAACTGATCGACGCACACGCCTGCAGGCTTTCTTGCTTCTACCGGTGCCCTAGAACAACACTGAAATATGGAAAGGACCATAACCCTGTCAGTAAACGCAACACTAGGTGGAACCCGACCAACGAGGATCAATGAGTGAAACAAGGGTCATTATAAACAAAATTTATACAAAATGATATAGATGTACACATTATGACATGTCTGAAAAGTCATCCTCACACTCGCGAATGTACAGAACATTATTGCACCGGATGAGGACTTCGCCCAAACAACCCATGTGGCAGTTGTCTATATACTCCTCGGTACTGTGTAACTGCAAATTCATGTACCGATCAACAGAAACAAGGTAGCCTTTGTATTCCATGCCCCATTTGAGCTTCACAATTACTTGCTTCCCTGTAATACTGCTGAGGAACGGTTTCGGATTGATCACGGCGACGTCCATTTCCAAATTTCGACCTTGACGCAAAACACTAACAAAACTCAAGGTCAGTTCAGTTCACTTCAGTTCAGTTCACTTCAGTTCAGTTCAGTTCAGTTTGCACAGGACGATGTGTGGCCCGGGCCAATCTTGCGTCCAGATTGATGTGTTGTTGGCTGTTCTTGTGGCTTCCAACACTGCAAGTCAATAGATTTTTTCTGAAAGGCAGAAAGTAAGGTGGGTATCACGTCCTGGGCAATGGTGCTCAGCAATAATAGATACTTACCATTAAACTGTTTCAGGGAAGGTAGAAGCCCAACAGTCATCTAATGCCCTTTGAAGGCTATGACGTTCGAGCAACTTACCACATTTTCTGGTAGATTATNTAGATTATTCCAGTAGGGTCTTACGCGACTTGTGAAGAACTTGGCTCGAATGTCCAATCTTACAAGACTACGTTGTAGCCTTAAACTATGTCCCCTAGTGCCACTTGAGGGGATGAACTAGAACATGTCTTCGAACTTAAGTCCGGAGAGACTGTTGATGATCTTAAAGACTTCTATTAGGTCCCCCCTTACTCTTCTTCTTCTTGCCAGAGAGAATAGGTTAAGGTCCTTGAGTCTCTGCACGTAGCTCTTACCTC